TTAGACCATATAGTAACTGAGGAGTACCTAAGTAAATTTATGTCATGTCTTACAGTCAGTGATATACCAACAGTAGGTAGTTGCGAGATCACTTCAGACTATAAATACTCAGACTTTAGTTATGGACCGTTTTGTCAAAACAAAACTGTTATAGGTAAATGTATCAATCATGCAGTCCAAACTATAAGACATTCAGAATATTCAGTGTATAAAATTCAATTTCTGGACCGTGTTGTTATAGTATAAAGAATGTCGTTTGTCCGCTTTTACACTGTTAGGTCTCCTCTGTTGTGGTTTTGTTTCTTCGTGGCAAGCAAATATATCTTTAAAACTTTGCAGTAAATTTAAATTGACCAAGTCATTCCATTCCTCATCATCGTCGTCGTCATCGTCTTCATCATCAGCAGTATATCTTGCTCTATCATCTGTAAAATAATTAAACGTTTCTTTTTTTTACATAAGATAAATTCATATATGAAACAAAACATATTTATGTAATGTTTTTTTTTCTCACCATTCTATGGCACTGTAATAAGAAATCACTATATGAAGTTGCATCACACGTTTGAAGGTCTATAGAGATATAAAACCTACAAAACAATACTGACCTCTGAACTTTGCTGCAAGCGGATCTGACGGATGAATTCCATTTTTCCAGCAAATAATTGCAATCGGTAAAGGTGTAATTTTTTCCTGTGTGACGGGCTGAAAGAAAATGCTAACATGAAGAACGGATACATAAATGATTAACAATATTAAGAAGTGTGTACATTTATTGTTTCTGGTAAAATACATTTAGCGATCTAAATTTGATATTTCAAAAAATCTATTTAAATTGTTTGTTTACTACTCATATTCTCAGACTTAAACATAACGCTTAATGCCGCCATGTTATCTTAAAATGATCATATTAATTTACTTGAATTTATGATATAGCGTTTTTTACACAAATACCAAAATTGAAATACTCTATGCCTAAATACATCAATGTTTCTGAAAGCATCTTAAAACTTACAAGATATCACCTCCGTATTCCGGTCATCAGAGTTTGTATTTTTTTCCTTATTTCAAAAAATTAGACCACAATTTAAGATTTCAAATGTTTAAATTTACACGTGGCACTTTGGCGACAATTCACAAGTACTCATAGACCACATTTAAAATTCCTATCTGATTCAGAAGGAAATATTTCATTTCAAAAACCGATGCAGTTGACACAACAGAAATTACACAGAAATTTAAAAATTATCTATAGCTGGTAGGCGGCTGTCAGAAGAAATTAGGGTCTTGTGATGAAGGATTTACAGTTGAATAAAAGAACGGACTTGTTGTAACTTGTATCTCGAGAGATATAACAGGGTAAATTTATAAAGTAATCGTACATTAGTACACATATTGTACTTGTTAATTTATTTCTAATTTACAAAAATTTGCTTTTGTTATTTTACAGTTAAAATAGAAGTACTTAGATGAAGACGAAACCTGCATCGGTTTCAAAGTTGCAGGATCGAACATATATATGCCATGCAACAGTTCAGTTCTTTCCCGGAAACAGCAAGTGCTTGGCATTGGAACTGAACTTACAATGTCAGGGTCAGCCCAAGGTTTTCCGAATGAATCTTTATTTATAGCATTATTAGTCTTCATAACGTTTCGATTCCCGTTGAATGCGACGCCACCCGTTATTGCAGGAGGAAATGTTCGTGCCCCGTTCGATAAATCAGCTTGTGCATCATTTAAATCTTGTGGACTACCTGACGACGGTGAAGGTATCATACACATTGACAAATATATACAAGATACCTTACACAATTACGGTGTGTAAATGATAAAAATTACATATAGAAAAAAACTGTTCAATGACATGGAAATAAAGTTATTTTCCCAGAAAGGTTTTCGCAATCAAAGCAAACTGACACCGAAGAATGTCAAAGTTGAGCATGTTGTATTGATTGATTTCAATGAGATACAAATAGAATTGCTTATCATGAAATACATTTATTCCAGATTGACACTTAAGATTTTTATGTGTGATTTGATTTAAACGAACACATAATTGAACTGACAAGCTGTAAAAATTGTAAATTGGCTCTAAATTGTATTGTGTGAATTTTCAATTCATATTGAATCTGAAAAAAAAAGATAATGAAAGAATGGATGATTGTTTTGGATCTAATCTGACAATTATTCATTAAACTGTTCAATGTTAAAGAGATATACGTGATTATGGTATTTAACGTTAATCATAATAGTAGTATTAAAATATTTGAACATTAAACAATTAACACAAACAATAAGGGACATTTTTTGTCATTACTTAATGGTAAACATTATTGAAACTAAACATTAGACACAGCAACATTATTTGTTTAGTAATCATCTTTTATTTACGAAACAGGACAGTTTCAACATAGACCTAGCGGTATGTCAAATATATATAAAAAATAGCATGTCTTGTTAATGATCTCTCATAAATTTTTATCAAAGTTATAACTGCCCTGATGGTTATTCAGATCTATAACAATATACCAAAGTTATGTCAAGTTATAAATAAAACAAACAGTTACCGTTCGAACTCCGTTTACAGTGTCTTTTATCTTCATTTATTTTTCATTATGTCTGTAAATTTCATTTTTACTGATTTGTTATCTGTTTACTTTCTCATTGATTTATAAGATTAAATAAACATTAAAAACCACATTACATGTTAATGACAATGATAAACGAAAGCCAGTTTGAAATATATAAAACTTGATCATTCACATTTTATTGATTACTATTTAAAGAAATGATCTAAACCAAAGGTATTTGTTGTTTGCAAGCTGATAGTCACGTAGAATTAAACTTTTTACATGTGGATCTTTAAACTTCCGTATTAGTGAAATCGATAAACGTTTACTAGAGTGAATATCTTAAACTCATCAGAGATGATCCATGTTTGAACTCGTTTGAGCAATTACCTAGGCAACCATTCTGACCAAGTTTGATGAGGATTGAGACAAAAATGTGACCACTAGAGTGTTAACGAAAATATGTGGACGGACTGTGTCCGCCTATAGTGTGTAGAGTTTAAAACACAACAGTTCTACTTCATGTGAAGTCAAACATGTTCAACCTATAAAATACAAACTTGCTGTGTAGCAATTAACAATTTTTTAAATATCAAATTTGAGCACAGTCTACCTTTAAGAAAGATAACACATTTTAAAGAATTAATTTCAAAATTAAAATAAAATAGTTGTTGTCATAAAAAATTCGAAACAAAATCTAAAAGATGTTAAATGATAAAGAGTTAAGAACAGAGAATTTAGAAAAATGCTGTTTTTTAAAAATCATATAAAATGGCGTAGTAACATCTGTTATGAATTTTCACTGATGCATCATAATTTTAACGCCAAGCAAACAGGTGAATCCAATCAGCACATTCAAGTATTTCACTCCTGACGATCCATTTACAGGAATACATTCACAGTCATTGCATACTGTAGAAGCACGTTTGGATCTTTTTCCAAAATCACTTGTCAGTCCTGATGCCAACGGAACATCCCGTGTAGAGCATTTCCATGATTTTACTTGAAATCCGCTGTCTTTCCAGTTATTAAAGCATACTTTGATCAAGTTTTGTTCGTATGAATTAACAGTCCTGTCATTGTTGAGATAGTATCGTCCATCGGCGTAAGTCATTGCCATATTAAACGTATTAGAGTTATAGACAAGACCTCGTCCGTTTGACCCTCGATAACAGTATCCAGATGCTACAATCATTTGCTCTTCTTCTGGACATTTCTCATAAAAATGAAAGTAAGCTGCAACATGCATAGCTGTTCTGTTACAGCGATATATATTCTTCCGGACAATAACGGAATCGATAAAGTGAAATATTCCTGTGTTTGGAGCCTCTACTTGCCCGTTCCTCATGTACAGGGTGAATGCCATGTAGTCTACATCACTCTTTACAGCACTATTATTTGGATGAGGCTGCAAGTATAACACTTCATAGAATGAATCTTCATCTGACACAATATATCCATTGTTGTTCCATCGTAGGTACCTTTTTTCTATGTTCAAAGGCTTTTCAGGACCATGATCCGTGCCGCCTTGAACCTGGAACGGTTTCGAACAAAACGTGATGATTAAAATATACAAATAGCCAGTACAAACTCCATTTTACAGTTAAACCGTTTAATCGTTCATTATTTATTTGATTAAAAGCTTTAAGAGAACATGGACTTAGCGTTTCGCGTATCTCTACCCGAACAACTATTTTATATCATCGAAACCGAAACAAGAATACGTGTAGTAAACAAATAGTTGAGAGAACATATATGGAAATAGTAGTTCATGCATTCTTATGTGGCAATTTTCATATTTTTTTCTATCATCAATTATCTTGTTTTTTTTATCATTGTCGTTTCTTAATGTATATATTTAAGTACAAGTAAAAGTACTTCATGAAGTTTTATAAGAATTCTGTGTTTACCATGTATTAAATGTTAATATTAACCTTACTGACACTTAACGTATTGTCAGTACAGATAATGGTTGTTTCAGAAAACGATAATTAAGATATTCTAGTAGATTATGTCAGTATAATTAGTTTAGTCACAATTGTAAACGATTTATGAAAGGGGTATTGTATAAAGATAACACATGAAAAATGTACTGTAATAATATTATCATAAAACATAATAATTGTCTATAAATAGCTTAAATGCATTTTACTGATTTAATATTGTATGTAGCACAATCTTTACTTGAGTCGCTGGAATGATATATAGCTGTTTTATTAAACAACACACAGTGTAAAAGCATTTATTCTAAGTAATTCTGAGTTGTCAGTTGCAGTTTTGATTATGTCATCGTAGTTTTTCTAGACTCCGCACACGGTTTAATTTAAATAATGTGTTTTAAGCTTGGTGCAGATACAATTTAATACTGAATATGAAACAATCACGGCAAATATTTTTATCTCAATAAATAAATGAGTAAGAGAATGATATATTTATATGGTTACTTCTTTTTAAGCGCACCACATTCTCAAATTAATGAAATGTAAATATTTTCTTTGTATTTCGGAAGTTATCTGCAACACTGTTGCAATGCTTCCTCTTTTTACTTTATGTGTGATTTATACATAATTATAAGCAATTATTTTATGCCAATGTTATACCAATTTTATTTTTTGTTTCGTTTAGTACACTCGGTAATAGAATGTTTCTTGTCTGCTACACAACAGCAAATGTCAAGTGCCTTTGTGGCAGCTGTAAAAAGTTGCCCCAGCACTGTTAAATGTTGAAAATTGATTACCGCTCAAGCCGATACTAGGGGCAGTTAGGGATGTTGCACTTTTTCACAATCCATAATGTATTTTATTTTGATTAATTCTTCCGAGAGATCATCCGTTTTGCAGCTCTTGATTAATTATTCTTTTAATCGATTTAGTTATGAAAGGTTGCAATGAGTAACGCTTTATCCACAGATAGCACATACAATTTCAGAAAGGTCTGTATACATATATAAATTGCTAGGAGATATTAAGAAATTCAGTAATACTAAACATAAACCTTATTCTTCATGTGCAGTTCTAAAATCTTTAAATTCAGTATTTGTTTTTTACTAATGACCTTCATTTTTTCGCATATAGCAGTTTTATTACAAACAAAATAATCATAAAACGAACAAAAGCTGATATCTTAAAACAGGTAATATAATATCTAAAAAAAGTATAAAAATCTATTTTAATAATACATTACTATAATATTGGTCATTGACCAATAATTGTTTGTGATAAAATGTTCAGATTAAAATGTAATAAGTTCAACTCCATAAAATTAACCGAACGTTTACGATACATTCCGATGGATATTTATTAAACGTGAGCCACATGGATTATTGATTAAACACACGTGAGTTTAATGTAATTATGGCAAAATCTTAAGTTATTGTGTCTTTGACCTGTACACCCACAATTTACACTACGATTGGCATAATGTCTCGCCTGCATGCATGCTTCTTATAATGAAAGATGATTTTTATTGTGTTCAAAACATACATTGGATAAAAGAAATGAAAGTCTTAATTTTAATATAGTCATTATCATCATTTGCATTTCGCTAATTTCTTCAAAGTAAAAAATGTGTTTAAAACACAAAATTATATGATGCAGGAAGATTTTAATATATCTCGCGTATTTGCGATCGAAGTGGTGAATAAAGGATTGATCAGGTTGAGCAAAAATCTTTGAATTTCATCAGCTAGTGATGTACATTTCTAAGGTATGAATTTAGTGTGTAAATTGAAGATGATAATTTAAGATCAGTGGTTGATAAATTTATATTTCAGCGTAATATTTATACTTGGTCATCCAAGTTAACTTCTATCTTTTAGGCATAGGTAAACCTAAGAAGGCAATAAAAGACTCGATAATTTCTGAGGGAATCTAAGCTCAAATGACGTACCACATCACCCCGGTAAAAGAAGTTATGTTCATTTCTATTTTCCTTGGAGATTACTTGGCGATCACTTCAGGCTATAAAAGACTTTAATCTTTAATTATGTAGTATTTGTCATATTAACAAAACTGTTATAGGTAAATGTATCAGTAATGCAGTTCAAACCATACTCAATTCAGAATATACAGTGTATAAGATTCAAGTTCTGGACCGTATTGTCATAGTAAAAATAATGTCGTTTGTTCGCTTTTACACTATTAGGTCTCCTGTAATGTGTTTTTGTTTCTTCTGGGCAAGCAAATATATCATAAAAACTTAACAGCAAATTTAAATTGACCTAGTCATCCCACTCATCAACATCATCATCGTCGCCGTCATCTTCATCATCATCAGCAGTCGTATGATTTGCTTTATCATCTGTAAAACAATTAAACTTTTTTTAACATAAAATAAATTTAGATATGAAACAAAACATACTTTTTTTTCCTTTCTCACTCTCACCATTCTATGACAATATAAGAAGAAATCAGTATATGAAGTTGCATCACACTTTTGTAATAAGGTCTACAGATATAAAACCTACAAAACAATACTGACCTCTGAACTTTGCTGCAAGTGGATCTGACGGATGAATTCCATTTTTCCAGCAAATAATTGCAATCGGTAGAGGAGTAATTTTCTCCTGTGTGACGGGCTGAAAGAAAATGCTTACATTCAGGACGGATATAGCAATGATTAACAATATTAAGAAGCATGTATATTTATTGTATCCGACAAAGATAATTTAACAATCTAAATTTTATATTTCAACAAATCTTTTTACATTGTACATACTACTTATATTCTAAGACTTAGATATAACGTTTGATTAATCATTTTAAATACCGCTATGCTATTTCAAAATGTTCATATTAATTAAACTAATAATCATGACACAAACACCAAAAATTGAAATACTCGTAAATATTTCAATGTTTCTGAGAGCACATTAAACCTTACAAGATATCACATCCGTTTATTTCCGGTCATCAAAGTGTGCATTTGTTTCCTTATTTAAAAAAAAAAAACAACGTGGCATATTGACGGCAACTCACTTAATGACCATTGTTTGAACTTAAAAGTTCCTATCTGATTCACAAGGAAATATTTCATTTTCCAGGAGTCAGAAGTCAAAACCCGATGCACTTGACAGGTACAGAAATTATATAAATTTAAAAATTCATCTATAGTTGTAAGTAGACTGTCAGAAGTAATTAGTGTCTTGTGATGAAGGGTTTACAGTGGAATAAAAATACAACATACCATGGACAATTGTTGTCATTAATATCTCGAGAAATAAAACTTTATATTGTAAAACTGTAAATTTATAAAATGATCTTACACTAGTACAAATATTGTAATTGTAAGTATATTTCTAAACTTATGAAAAGTCGCTTTGGTTATTCTACAGTTAAAACAATGAATAATTTGTTCAAGTACTTACAGCCTGCACATGTTTCAAAGTTGCAGGGTCGAACATGTTTATGTTATGCAACAGTTCAGTTCTTTCCCGGAAACAGCAAAGTGCTTGACAGTGGAGCTGAATTGTTAGCGTCAGCCCCAGGTTTTTTGAATGAGTCTTTACTTATTGCATTATAAGTGTTCGTAACGTTTCGATTCCTGTTTAATGCGACACTTCCAGTTATTGCAGGAGGAACTGTTCGTGTCCCGTTCGATGAATCAGCTTGTGCATCATTTAAATCTTTTGGATTACCTGAAGTTGGTGAAGGTATCTTACAAATTGACAAATACATACAAGATGCCTTTCACAATTACGGTGTGTAAATTTCGAAATATTCTTGAAAAAAATTTACAAACAGAAAAAAACTGTTCAATGATTTCAATTACATGGAAATAAATTTATTTTCCCCGAAAGGTTTTCTATGATCAAAACAAACACACACCGAAGATTGTCAAAGTTGAGCATGTAGTATTGATTGATTGTAATGAAATACAAATAGGTTTGCTTATTATGAAATACATTTATTTCAGACTGTGACTAAAGATTTTTAAGATAATGAAAGAATTGATGACTGTTTAGGGTTTAATCTTACAATTATTCATTAAACGGATCAATGATAAAGAGATATACGTGATTATGGTATTTAACGTTCATCAAAATAGTAGTATTAACACATTTGAACATTAAACAATGAACTCAAACAATAAGGGACAATTTTTTGTCGTAACTAAATGGTAAACATTATTGAAACTAAACATTATAGAGTGTTTAGTAATCACCTTTTATTTACTAAAAAGGACAGTTTCAACATAGACCTAGCGGTATGTCAAATATATAAAAATAGCGTGTGTTACAAGTTATGTCATATTTCTTTATAAAATTTATAACTGCCCCGATAGTTATTCAGATCGATAACATTATTCCAAAGTTATAAAGTTTTAGATAAAACAAACAAACAAACACTTTTCGAATTCCGTTTACAGTGTCTTTTATCTTCATTTCTTTCATCATGTCTGTAAATTTCACTTTTTACCGATTTATCTTTTGTAGATTTTCTCATTGACTTTATAAGATTAGATAAACAATTAAAAAAACATGACATTATAATGAAAAAGATTAACGTAAACCAGTCTGTATACTTCAAACTTGATTATTTTCACATCCATGAGAACATATTACAGATAACTATTTGTAGTAATGATCTAAACCAAAAGTATTTGTAGTTTGCAAGGCGATAGTCACGTAGAATTAAACTGTTTACACGTGGATCTTTAAACTTCCGTATTACTGACATTGATAAACATTTATCAGAGTGAATATCTTTAACTCGTTTTAACCAACATTTTTGTTAAGCAGATTTCAAGGAGATCAACAATTATACACTATCTTTAGAAAGAGTATTTGTAGTCTTTCAAACTGTTTGCCACGTTAAGTTGTGAACATGTCGTGATATATCCATAGATTTACTTGTAATCGATTGCACATTCATAAAAGCTTGTATTGTTTAAATAGGAATAGTATTTTTATGTTTAGCATTGTCAACATTGACTTGTTACTGACATGTATTATGTTAACTCTTCTTTGTCAATATAGCAATGCTTTATACAAAATCTATAGATTGTGTACTCGTATATTACTGCTCTTGGACAATTTATTGCTCCGCGCCCACAGGCGCGGAGCTATTTGTGTTTACTTTTTTTTGTCCATAGGCCCGGATTTTATCAATTAATCCCTTCGATTTACAGCTAAAAATAAATTCGGATTCAATAACTCCTTATATTATTATATTGGTTCCCCCTTCGGTGATTCGCAGCGTGTCATATTAATGAATGAGAAACGGAAAGCAGTTCTGCTGTACATGAATTCGAAAGCTATAAATAGCTATAAATGTTCTGATTTTTGACGAGTAGGTTATAAATTTGTTATTTCCCTTTTCTAGTAGTACATGAAATTATAATTTGTTACATTTTGAATTACATTTACACACAGCATATCAAGTATACCATTACTGATTGAATTTGTCAATATAAAGAAGATATCAGGCATAAGACTAAAATTTTGCTTTTGATAATTATTCTTAATTTATATTTATGAAGCTAAATGTTTAATAATAACATGTTGATATATTTGTTGTTTTGAAATAATTATAGCTTTAGTATATATGGTTACATTTCTTTGGTAACATTAGTTAGGGGCCTCCGTGGCCGAGTGGTTAAGGTCGCTGACTTGAGATCACAGGCCCCTCACCGCCGTAGGTTCGATCATCACTCGGGTCGCAATCTTTCATGTGAGGAAGCCATCCAGCTGGCTTACGGAAGGTCGGTGGTTCTACCCAGGTGCCCGCACGTGCCTGAAATAATGCCCGGAATGGCACCTGGGGTCTGCCTCCACCAATATAAGCTGGAAAAAAAATCACGGCGGGACGCTCTAGGATGGCCCGACTTGAGTGTACGGTTGCCCATATGGGCTTTACGGTGGCGACCTTAAATAAACGCATTCAAAGAAAAAAGTAACATTGGTAATGCATGGAGGTAAATTATCAACGCTTTGTGCTTCAAAATGAACTCTTTAAGGGCATGACTGGCGATATGTCCGAAGTCCGTACTCGACAGCGAAAGCTGCATTTTGTGCCCATACGGGCGGATGGACCCTCAATAAGTATAGAGTATAGATAAATAGATCGCATCAATGGTAACAACGGAAATTTTGATCTGCAGTTTGAAAATGAGGTGTATTGTTTTTTTATGAATGGTTTTAAAGCAAATCAGCAAAAAAGTGTATTGATCTCCCAATAAATCAATTAACAATAGCTTTTTATATACCACCAATGTCAATTAGCTTTTATATCTTTGACTCGCATAGTGAATTTCCTCATACCTGCCTAAAATTCAGGTAACAGTCTTCTATCAGTATTAAAAGAAACCATTTTTTTTAATTTGACATGAAAAAAATGCATGTAATATTACTATATTATAATATTTGTCCCTTTTGATACTATTTGTGTATTTGTTACAATTATAATAATATAAAAACAGACTTTGATATTTTTATCATCTTATGTTACTGACTACAGTAGTGACACAAACAGAACACAGTACAGTCATGTCACATAACATTTACAAGTCTTGTAAGTCTTGTTTGTATTCAATGGAATTACTTTCCATACCAGGTAAGCATCAGTGAAAGCATTGTTTCAAATTAAATATCTGGCCCCTCTTTTTAATTATGGACAGTGCATAAGATAAGTATAATTATGCAAAACATGGTTTACAAAACATTCGGAAAAGATCTACAATAGTACTTAGTCTGAATATAATATGACCTGTGCGTAGGAATAATTTGGTAAGGTATCTGTAATGAGCGCATTTTTTGCGCGGAGCTTCTCAATTGCTGCATTGCAGCAACATTTGTACTTGTATTATTAGATTTCCCACATACTTTTTTCTACGTTACTGGTAAAGTGAAAATGTATTTGGCGCTTTTTATTTCACAGGAAAATAAAATTTAGGACAGATAATTGTTTTTCCAAACATCTTTCAGAAAAAACTTTTGAATCTAGCACCGCTCATTGTTAATTTATCGCCGGGGAATAATTTAGTTTCTCATAGACTGGCGCAAGAGTGTCATATTGCCATGCCAACTATCAGATGACAATAGTTTCATAGAACTGGCAAATCATTTTGTTTGCACAGAAGTTGTCGTAGTTCGATTGTCTAGGAAGCTATACAAGCTTTCAGATACTAAGCTCACAGATCTGAGTCTTAGGGCATTTACGATTTTTGCAAAACATCTGTCAAAAGGAACTTATGAATCTAGCCACCGCTCATTGTTAATTTATCGTCGGGGAATAATGTTGATTCTCATAGACTGGCGCAAGAGTGTTAAATTGAATATCCGTCCAATGACAACTATCAGATGACAATAGTTTCATAGAACTGGCAAACAATTTAGTTTGCACAAAAGTTATTATAGTTCGATTGTCTAGGAAGCTATATAAGCTTGTTCAAGAAAGCTATGGCTTGCCCCTGACGGGGTGTGACCCCGCATGGCTAAAGATACTAAGATCACAAGTCCGACCTGTAAACCTCTCGCCAAAGTCGCCATTTGAAAGCTCTTGTACCTTAAAAATGCTATCCTTTATTTTTCAATTTTTTTTATTGTTAGTCCTATTCAGCTGAACCACCTTTGCCTTGTTTTTGTGTTTTGGCAATTAGTACGGCTATAGTAATTAAGCATTTTGTATGGAAGTCAAAGTCTTACATTTTCGAAGTCCATTTTTGCAACATTTTAAGATATTATTTTGCCCTTTCTGCAAAATGATAATTATATTCATGTCTAAGTCATATTTGTCTTTAACTGTTGCATTCATCTTCAACCATTTCAAAGAAAAGTAAAAAGTAAAAAAGTAAACACCTCGTTATATATTTTTAGGTATAAAATATTAAATCTAAAAGTGACAATTATATACAGCACACACACGCACTCACACGAACACGCAAATACTAGCATTTTGTGATAAGGCCACAGATATTGACAAATTTTCAAAGGTTCTTCAAAGAAATGAACACAAACTATCAAATATTTACAAAACGGTCTTTTAACATCTAAAAATTAATTTATCTTCTATCAAAATCCCGCATAGTTTTAGTTCACTCTAGAAATATTTTGTATCATACATGTACATTGTCATCTATTTCTCTTTGTATTAATTGTTCGCGAAAGATAACACCTTTTATAGTGTCTTGTATTCGTCAGACTGTTTTATATCATTTTAGCTGCTTAATTGAAACAACAACGGAAGGATGAAGAATACAGTGTTTACTCAGATGATGGGTATAACTAGCATAATATAATTATGTAAGTCATATGTACAGGCATGTACAAAAGATGTCTAGATATGATTGAACAGAAAGTTTTTCTAGATTTTCCCTATAAAATACATAGTTTGTAGAAAATACTGGAATTTCAGACTTTGGGTAATCATACTAGTATTAAAGCGTTTATATAGCAGATAAATAAACACGGCAATTTTAAGAAAAATTACAAATTTAAAAAAAAATCAAATTGAAATAAAACTTTACGTAATGATAGTTCTCATCTAAAATTCGAAACAAAAATGTAAAAGATAGTAAGTAATGGATTATTAAAGATATACTATGCTCAAATCTAATAAATTTTTTTTTATACACGTGTAATTACACAGTATCTTTATAAATATAACATAAACACGATTTGGCTTCACACAAAGTAGATATGTAATAATGTTTAAAATTCTACACACTATAGGTGGTCATAATAAGAATATAAAGTGTCTTTTTTAAGAAAGGTACGAAATTACTTGTCCCGTGACAGGAAACGCAGCTTCCCATATTCTGTTATTCAAATAAGACATAATCAGTAAGAATGTTTTAAATTTCAATAAATTTCTATGATTTAAATATTTTACACAAGCACAGTATATCATTAAGATAAGTGCATTTAGAAAAATGCTTTGTTATTTTTTTTTAAATGATATAACATCTGTCATGAATCTTCACTAATGCATCATAATTTGAAAACCAAGCAAACACGTGAAAACAACCAGAACACCAAAGTATTCCATTCTTGACGATCCATTCACGGGAATACACTCACAGTCACTGCATGACGTAGAAGCACGTTTGGATCTTTTCCCAAGGTCACTTGTAAGTCCTGACGCAAACGGAATATTCCTTGTATAGCATACCCATGAGTTCACTTTAAATCCGCTATCTTTCCAGTTATTGAAGCATACTTTGATCAAGTTTTGTTCGAATGGATGAACAGTTCTGTCCTCGTTGAGATAGTATCGTCCATCTGCGTACGTCATTGCCACACTGTTAAACGTAAAAGAGTTATAGACAAGACCTCGTCCGTTTGACCCTTGATAACAGTATCCAGATGCTACAATCATTTGCTCATCCTCTGGACATTTGCCATAAAAATGATAATAGGCTCCAGCATGCATAGTTTTTCTGGTACAGTGATGTACATTCTCCACGGCAATATCGGAATCGATAAAGTGAAATATTCCTGTGTTTTGAGCCTCTATTTGCCCGTTCCTCATGTACAGTGTGAATCCCATGTAGTTTACACCACTCTTTACAGCGACATTTTCGGGATGTGGCTTCAAATACACTACTTCATAAGATGATCCTTGACCTGACATGATATACCCATTATTATTCCATCGTAGGTACCTTTTTTCTATGTCCAGAGGCTTCTCATGTAGCTTTACAATACCATGATCCGTGCCACCTTGAACATGGAATGTCTTCGAACAAAACGTGATTATTAAAATATACAAATAGCCCCTACAGAACTTCATTTTACAGTTAAACCGTTCAATCTATATTCAAAAAATATCTTTACTTTGCGTATCGCGTATCTCTACCCGTAGAACGATTAACGTGTATGCACTTGTTACATCGGAACTGTAACAAGAATA